CCCAGTATGGACCCTTGAGGGATACCACTCATTGCAGGTTTCCACTTGGACACTGAGCTGTTGACTGTAACTCTTCGGACATGGCCATGCAGCCAATTCCTTATGCGTCAAATAGTCCATCCACCAAACCCACCTCTCTCTAATTTAGTGGTCAGAATGTTGGGCTGTATCCAAGGTCTTACACAAGTCCACGCAGGTGTTATCCATAGCTCTTCCTGTATCCACTGATGCAGTCACTCCATTGCAGAAGGCCACTAGATCAGTCATTCAGGGTTTGCCCTTGGTGGAGACCTGCTGGCTGTCACCATCACCTCCCTGTCTTTATTACCATTTGTAAAAATGGGTGTGATATTCCCTTTTCTCCAGTCACTGGGGACTTTGCCTGACTGCTGTGACTTTTCGAACCGGATGGAGAGTGGCTGCGCAATGCAGAAACTTTCTCTCTGAACCAGTTTGCTTACGTGTTTGTGAACTGAGCCCTGCCTGTTCGCCAAGCTCCAGAATGGGTCACTCACACCTCTTCCATTATGGACTACTCAGTCTCTCTGTTCTTCTGTGTCTCTCGTCTACCATGTGGTTATGTAAGTGTTACAACAGGGGATGGTCCGAGAACTCCTTAGCAAGTTCAAGCCAGGTTTCCTCTGGAATCTCCCACCCCCAGTGCCAGTACAGCTTTTGGGACTGTTTGTGCACCAGTAGGTCACCAGCCCGTTTGGGTAGCTGCAAGGGAACCTTTCTTTTCCCGTGCCACTGCCCAGCACACGACCTTGGATTATGAATGGGTCTGTGTTAGCTTGGGATGGCAAGGTGGAAAAATGGTGGGGTGTTTTTCCAGAGAGGATTTAGCTCTGTCATCCTTTGGGTTTTCTTTTGTAATTCCTGACCTCATCCAGCCCTGACTCAGAAAGCAGCTCAGCACGGAGCCGTGATAAGGCATTGCAGACTCCTCTTCCGCTATGGTGCTGGTTTTACATATGGGCCAACGCTTGCTGGTGGTGACAGAAACCAGACCTCTTGGTTTGGGGTGTTTTTCCAGTGCTGAGGGTTTTAGTAACCTTGTGATGGAATGCTGTTTTGATCCCATGAGTACTCCCTTGTATTGCTCCCTTTAACTCCTCTAGAAGCCATTTTTCACCCTAACTAAAACTTGTGCGTGGCTTACTCTGTTCTTCATTTGGATACCTGCCGCTTCCAACTAATCAAGATTCTGGAGGCAGCTGAATGTCACCACACCTGTGCATCTGCAGTAACTTGTACGGATCTCGGGAGTTCGGAGGTGTTGCCAAGAGAAGCTGCGGTCTTCCAGCTGGCTTAGCGGGTGGTTTAACCCTTTAGCCCCGAAGTGTAGCAATGCTTGTGACTGTAGCTGTCGCTGCAGGATTGTGAACCAGTCAAGGCTTCCCGGGTCCTGAAGTAGTACCGCTCCTTTCGGAATTGTTTCCCCTTAAGGAGAGGCAAGCAGCAAACCCTCTCCTTGAAATTATTCCAACTCTGCAAGCCAGGAAGCCTCACAAACGTGCTGTACAGCATCAAATTGAGGTGATGCTGAAATCACTTCATTTTATTTAAATGGAAACAGTTGCTCATGTGTTGCCTTTTATGTCCTTTTTACCTTGCAGAAAATGGGAATGAGGGACTGGAAGAGGAAACACCAGAGTACGCAGATACTTGGTTTTCAGAGGAGCCCAAGCAAAGGGACAAGGGTACTGATACAGAGGAAGACCAGCTCCTTGAAGAACCTGAAACTCAGTATAGCTCCAAAATGACTCAGCACCCATCAGTTGCCAGCTCTGCTGCAGAAAGCCACTCCCTGCCTGGATCTGATGGAGCTTCTTCCCCTGGGGGACCTGGACTGGTGTATGTCCCTGCTGAGCCTGCCCAGCTTGCTGCCCATGCGCTAGGTAACGGTCGTTCTCTTTGCTCTTTGAGGGATGTGGCAACCAGCATGCAGATTCTTTATGAAGACTCACAGACCTCAGAGAACAAGCTTACACCAGCAGAAGGTGCTGCTGAAGATGCTTCTGCTGACCCAGCAGCCGAGATGTGTGTAGGGGCTTGTAGGTCACAACCGGGACCATGGAGTCAGTCCTCCGTAGCTGGAGAACCAGGGCCCTCAGAGAGCCAGGCTGAGGTCTCAACAGATGATGTCAGTCAAGCTTCCTTGGTCACCCTGTGGGAAGAACCACCACCATCACCTCTTTCACCACCACCTGTAGCGCTCTGTTGGGATGATGAGCCAGTTATGGAGGGAGAGGTTCCACCTTATGTAGAGCAGTTTCCACAAAAAATCATCATTCCCTTCATAGACCGAACAGCTTATCTGGTAAAGATTGAACAGCCGCTAACGGCAGGGGGGGGGGGAAGGTCAGGGCTCAAGCGCTACAACCTTAGGGCCACCTGCTGACAACGTAGTGAGCCATCCCCAGAGAATGGAATCTGCAGCACAGGTGGAATCAGCTAAGCGAGCTTATGTCTTGTCAGGAAAGAAAGTTTGGGTCCTTGTGTCGTCTTCCTGTCCCAGCTTCCAGCTCTACAGCTCGTCAGCGGCCGTTGGATGGGAAAGCCCCTACGTCAGTGCAAAGATGGGCTCTAAGAAACCACTGCACCAACACGGTCTGCTCGGCCCCAGCGCATGCGCTGGATCTCTCTGCTGTCTTGTTCCAGGAGATGCGGCTGGCTCCGGGCAGGCCTGTGCTCCTGTGGGCAGATACGCTGGGAAGAGTGGTGGGATGGTGGCTGCTGATGGCAAACCAGCCATGTTTTCTGAAGTGGGTGTCAGAGACCAGAGATGTATTACATGTGCCCAGCTGCTGCAGTGGGGTTGGAGCCCTAGTTTTGATTCTCCTTCCCTGAAAGATCCCATATTCCAGCACTGACCTCAGAGCTTTTCCATTTAAAATATAATACCGGTGGTCATTTCCTGTGCTGTCCTGAGTGTGGTGAGTTTCTGCAACCAGGCTGAGTGGGCTAAGCACTGGTCATCAGTTCCATAAACAGCCAGAGAGCTGGGGCTCATTTCTTGGCAAGGCCATCAGCTGCATCTCCCTTGTGGTGACACCAGCCCAGCTCCTCCCCTTGTGCAGCTGGAGAAACCCTCCAGGGTGGAGCTTCCCTGTCCCACATCTCCTTGGTCCTGCTGCATCTGTCCAGGGAGAAGTGGTGCAGCTGGGAGGTCTCAGCATTTTGTAGAGAAGAGCTGAGCTTAGGCTGATGTGTAAATTAACACTGGCTCTACAGGAAAAACCCAACAACCATTTGGGGGAGTTTGATGAACTTTGGTGTCAGAAGTGCTGGGTAAATGCTTGAACCTCTGCTCTGGCTGTATTCACTTGTGCTTTTTTGAGGCTGAGGGTGTTTGTCAGCCCCATGCCAATGGTGTTTGCTATCCCAGCTCTCTAAGGTACTGGCTCTCATCAGGTGTAGGGATGATTGTTTTGGATGTGAGGGTTGGAATTCACTGCTGCTAATCCCTGCCCTCTTACCATTGTAGCCACGGCATCAAGTGAAGCAGGACAGCCACCACCCCATCCTAATGTGTGGACTCTCTTTTGCCTGAGTGACTTGAGACAAGGTCAAAAACCACCCCCACCACCCCCCCTTTCTCCTGCTGGAGCTGGTGTTCCTTATTCCTGGGCAGCCCTCAGCCCTTCCAGGGGGGAAGATGAACCATGTGGTCAGCTGTATCAAGCATCTGCCCCCATGTATGTGATAGAAGAAGAAAGCAACAGGATTGCTGCTCCACCCTTCATTTTAGTGGGCTCTAAGGTTCAGAAGGTGGACGACTGGCAGCCTCTTCCTGGCCACACCGTCTTTGCGTGTGGTGCTGGGAGCAGACTCACCGCAGTCCCTGTCGCCAGGCCGGCTGGTGAAGGAGCAGACAGGGCCAGCCCCGGCCATAACTCTGCAGAGGGGAGGGCAGCTCAGCCGTGCACACCAGAGGTTCTCTCAGTTGCCATCCCAGTTGCCATCCCTCTGGACGATGCGGTGTCTGTGAGTGGGCTTGCCGGCTGGGGCCAAGTGCCCAGGTACGGATCCCTTGCAGGAAGCTCTGGCACAGCAGGACGGATGGCAGTTACATTGGGCACCATGCCCAGAGCAGGGCTGGGAGGAGCTTCCTTCTTGCAGGGGGAGATGCTGGTGTGTGGGATTTACTACTAAAAGCTTAATTTAACTCTTTTTTTTAAATTAGGTGTAAAACCAGTGGTGTAACTAGTTGTCATACATAACAGACCCCATGCTGCCTTCTACTCAGCCCACTCTGCAACCGGTAGTACTAGTCTTGCTCTGGGTTTAGACTAAAGTAGCCAACAACCCAAACCCTTTGAGTTCAGGCTGTGGGTACAGTGTCACACTGAGTGTGACAAAGAACCTGCACCTTGGAGTGCAGTTAGGTAGCAATCTCCCTGCATGCTTTCTGCTGAGTTAGCACTGTCCTTTTAAACAGGTTGAGAAGAGACTGGACTTGAGGAAGAGTTCAGGAGGAATGGAGTTCACATTGTAATAAATCAACTTAACTGCAAATGCTCCAAAGAAAGGCAGTGCTCTTATGTGTTTTATACGTTCCTCAAGGTTATATGTTCCTCAGTGTTTCCTCTGTATCCAGCACCACATCCTCTAGGTTAACTCTGTGTGAATCACCACCACTGAGACTCATCTCCTGTGGCTCTTTCACCATGAGCCTCCCAGCTTCTTCACCCTGTTAACTGGGTGTGTGCATGAGCCCCCCTGACACTAAGAGGTGATGTACAGTCACACCTTCAACTCTGAGATAGAATTATTCTCACACATGGTCCATTTGAACAAAAACTACAGTTCATCAAGGACAGCTGAGGTGATGTGTTGAGGAAGGAGTAAGTAGCTTTGCTTTAAAGCCTGTGGCCACTTAAATAGACCAGACTCTTCCCATATGAATAGGTGTAGGAAAAACACACCCACTACTACCCTTGTTCTGCTCTGCGTGACTCCTGTTTCCTAAGGAAATGCCACATAGAGACTTCCCCTGCTCAAGCCTGGGCAGGCAGGCATGACACGCTTTGTTTTTCCTAGTGCTGAGCAGTCAGTGCTGTGGGACCTGTTGAACTGCCGACCCTACAGCCAGACTCTTTCCACACACCAGACTCATGCCTGAAGTCGCACGGGACTGCGGCCAGACCTCAGGAACCACTGGCCAGAGTAGAGCCTTGAGCACAGAGATGAGGCTTCCAGGAGCCAGCATGCTGTTTCTGCAGCCAGAGGTCACTGAGAACTGGGCTGTCACAGGAAAAGGCATTCCCTTATCCACGCAAATATGGCTCAGCATCCATACCTGGGTAATTCTAGCAGCACACAGAATAGAAGACAACTCCTTGCCCTGTCAGCAGCTGGAGTAGCCCACCCTCCAGGCAACAGCTGCAGCCTCACTGCACGTTCACCAGGAAGCTCTCAGTTCCCCAGCCACAGCCACCCTCCCTCTGAGTTCCTGCTCAGGGGAAAGGAGGCCCCGGAAGCACCAGGACACACACACTACCTCAGTGCAGCAGCTTTTGGAGCGGGCTTGGCTCAGAGAGGGCCAGGGCTGTCAAACACCACTCGCTTTATACTAGGTGCAAGAAGTTTTGAAGCCTTTATTTAGTAGCAATTAAATTATTCCATTAACACTAACCTCCAGACAGCAGTTAAAATATTGTACAAAGAGCAGCTCGCCCTCACGCAGCTCCGTATAAACTTACACGCCGAGAGGGAACGCAGCCCAGGGAAAAGGGGTAACGCAGCTGTGCGCAGGAAGCCTCGCCGAGGTGCAGCGCACAAGACTTCCTTCCCAGGGAGCCTGCACCATGCAGACAAGGTTCCTGTCCCCTCGCCACTGTGTTCCACTGCATCCTGGACAGATGAGGGCCTTGCCTTTCTCACTGGGGTGCTGGGCACTGGGATTTCTAGTGCATGAAACAGATTCTCTTCAAACCTGTTACTAGTGTGCAACTCAAATCAAATCTGTACGTGTTTAAATGGCTCTTAATTCCTTAAAACCATAAGGCTGGTAGCAAAACAGGAGAGCAAAATTCAAAACACACCGCACAAGACATCATTGATTAAATACCTCTGAGTAATGTTACCAGCTTAAACTGCGTTAATGCTCCAGCGATGGGAACGCTTCTGGAATCTCTGGCCAGAGCTTGGGATTCAAGGGAGTTATTTTAGTAAAAGAAAAAGTCACTTTATGAAAAATTACATCTTTATCAGTGTGACACGCCCTTCCTCCTTTAAGAGCAGACCACTGCCATCGCTGCGTGTGCTTTCACACCTCCCCGTGTCACAGGGAATAAACCCAGCTCTACTTGTGCCAGTGTTCTCTACAGCAGAAAGTACTCACGGAACAGCCGAAGGTGCTCTAATTCCTCGTACACCGCAACCTAATATAGGTGTATGCCGCAAACAGGGCCGCTCAAGACCGGGGCAGCTGACTTGGTCCACACGGGATCCACCAGGAAAATCTTTCCCCTACCTACAGGGCTGCAGGTCATGTCCCACCAGGCCGACTGTGGGGATGCCCAGTGTTTCTGTTGGATAACACATCAGGTTTGGGTTTTTTTTTCAGGAGATAAGTAAAACAAGGGAAAACATTAGAACGGATTAAGACATATTTGTATCAGTCACAGGCTCCTTATTGCATTTTAATAAATATCAGGCAAGTTGAAGTAGTTTCTGTCCCAGTAGTTGCCAGAATAAAGCCAGTCCTGCGTACCAGTGTAGGGATTGGGGCCTTGGTGGAACCATCTGCAAGGAAACACAGAGCGTGTTAGCGAAGCCCTTGACACACGCTTGAACCGAAGTTCAGAACTGCTTTGCTGCAGCCTCGGCAGCTGCTTGTTCAGAGAAATCACGGCCATGGCCAGAGCCCTCCTGGGATTAAATCTGGAGGTGAAATTAAAAAGTCATCATCAGGCTAGACCTTCCCATGCCGCTTAAATAGCTCCTGGGGGAAGGTGGTGCTGTATTTTGGCTCTTGAGGCAGTCAAGACTGTGGCATAGGAGGGACAGGCACAGTCTTACTTCAAAGCAGTTGTGAACAGTCATTCTGGCATGCACAGGTAGGAACAAGTGTTTCGCAAGACATTTAAACACCACAAGCACTGCAGTCCTGAAAACAGAAACCCATTATTTCCCCAGGATCTCGCCTTCCCTCTGCTCTTTAAAGCAGTGTTTTGCAACACCCAGAACAGGGGTGGTGGTTACCCTCAGCATGGATGAAGTTCCCGCCCGCAGGCTGTGGGAAGAGTCCCAGCCTAACTGCGCTTGCTTCGCACTGCCAGCACTGGGAGGCCCCTTGGAACGCCCAGAAAGCTGTTTCCACCTGCATGGAGTTACTTGGCGGCTTTTTCTGAACTGGTTGTTGGCAGAACTGCTCCCGTTTAGCCCCTTCTTTCCTTGCCTCTCCCCTCCTCCCTAACCTGGAGGCACTGCGCACACCCACGGGTTACATCTGTGGGTGTATGTTCCCCTTTCTGGGGGAGGGCAGGCTGGCTATAGGGGGAGGCACGCTTACGAGGCTGTACTACTAGGGCAGCCATCCCCCAGCAGTGAGCACAGCTCTGCCAAATCACTGAGACACCCAACTCCATCCTCCCTCCGCCCCCACACCCATTTCTGCTGCCCGCAGCGCGCTACTGAACGCCGCTTTCTGCTCCGGCTGCGGCACGCACCACGCAGTACCACCCCTCCAGCGTTTTAACGGCTTTTTTTTTTTTAAAAAACCATGTTTACAAGGCGGCTTGCTAGGAGCTGCTTCTGTGGTTAGTACACCCCGCAGCTTCCTCTGGCCAGCCCCTGCTTCATACGCCACACTACGGCCAACACACTGAAGTCTGGTGCGTGCAAGGCAGCCCGTGCTGACTCGGCTCTGCCCTTCCAGGGTACCAGAAGGTCTCAGAACACAAGTTAAAGCATGTTTGGACCAAATATGGCTTGTTCTCTTTAAAAAGCAAAGAGATGGCCAGTATTGCAGCATCATGTTACAGAGCAGAGCAGCTAACTGGTGAGTCTTGCTTGGCTCAACAGGCTGAAGACACATATTGGAAGAAATCATGAATCAGACTGGTTTGGGTTGGAAGGGACCTTAAAGACCATCCAGTTCCAACCCCCCTGCCATGGGCAGGGACACCTTCCACTAGACCAGGTTGCTCAAAGCCTCATCCAGCCTGGCCTTGAACACTTCCAGGGATGGGGCATCCACAGCTTCTCTGGGCAACCTGTTCCAGTGCCTCCCCACCCTCTCCAGGAAGAACTTCTTCCTGATATCCAATCTAAACCTCCCCACTTTCAATTTAAACCCGTTACCCCTTGTCCTGTCACTACAGGCCCTTGTAAAAAGCCTCCCTCAGCCTCGTAGCCCCTTCAGGTACTGGAAGGTGCTGTAAGGTTTCCCCAGCGCCTTCTCTCCAGGCTGAAGAGCACCTGGTGTTTCTCCTGCTGTCCCCGTGAGGTGAACGGAAGGCAAGAGAAGACAGAAGTCATTCAGCCCTTCTCCTGCATATGGCTCACTACTGCATCACCTCCACACAGGACGCGTCAGCTATTCCAGAGTAACTGGCATGTGCGAGTGCACATGTGTCTAGTTCCCTCCCTAGATCAGAGCCAACAGGAGCTCATTCCTGAGGAGCAGGGCTGTAAGCAGTCAGCTCCTCTCTCACATTAAATGCTTCTACCCCCCAGGTCAGAACTGTGTTCCCCTCCTCCAGTGACCACCCGCTTTCAACAGGAGGTGTAAATGTGATGGGAAGAGCTAAGTCTGAGACACAGGAGACACAAAACAGTTGGATAATCCAGCCAGGTAAGCGGTGGGGGAAAGGAGGGGACTGATTCTCAGCAGCAGCAGCAGCCCACTGCTGTGTTTCAGAACAGAACTGCTCTTACGACTGCTGGTCAGTCTGTAGAGCATCAGGTGTTCAGCACAAATCACTCCAGCAGCACCACGAGCCCACTCCTACAGTGGATTCAACAGTTTAACAAACAACTGGGCACTCTGGAGAACTGTGTTACAAGGGCGGAGCTCTGCTAGACAGAGTAATAATCCCGCTTTTCTGCAGCAAGGAAATCGCTGTAGTTTACATCAGTGTTTATATTACACTGCAGACTGGGGCCTAGAGTTGACTGGGAACAGCAGGAGTCTCCCGTCTCCCTTCACCGCATGCGTTCCTTCCCCTCTCCCCCCCCAAGCACAGCTCTTCCTCAACACTTTACATTCATCCTTAGGGAGATGGTCACACTTGGCATCCCTACTAAGGGGATCAGACACTAGGAATTGTCTGCCAAAGCTTCAGAAACGTCCTGGAAAATGAGTTCTGACAGGACATCCCAGGCGAGCGCTGAGTGGGTCGGCAGCAACCGAAGAGCCTGGTGAACGGCATCGACACCAATTATACACCCCAAACCCCACTGCTCCGAGTTGTCCCCTGCAAGAACACAGTGTAACTATCCCTCGCTTTGGGAACACTGGGTGAGAGGCAGACCTACTCCAAATTCCAGAAGGGAAGAGGGAGGTGCAAGGCTGTCCAGCACCAAACGCAGGTACTTGGAAGCATTACAAAGGTGTTATTTTTCACCAGTCTCAGGGCAAACCAACCCAAACACTTCAGGAGAGCAGGCACAGGAAAGAGACAAAGGCAGACATGTCCAAACCTGGGACTCTGGCATGATGGGTGACTTCATTTGAAAAAAAGAAAAAAGTGATTTATAGTTACAAACAGACATTTTAAAGATATTTAATCCACGGTGGCGGGGTGTATTAACAGCTAATTAATAGGGCAGAGATGAAGCTTGCTTACTTTTAGAGAGTTTAGCCTTCTTTCTTTCTGTGAAGAGACTGCCAATTTATTACTACACTTTTAAACAGGCCCTGTCTGGTCAGCCTAGGTTCATTTGGGCATGTTTTCCCAGTTTCTACTTCACCTGTGTCTAAGAGCTCCCAGCTGACAGCTCTCACCTTGAAAAAAACCCCAAAACAATCTGGCAGATCCTTCGTAAACTAGTTTCCCCCTGCATAGCTCTTCCAACTTCTGTAGTTGGTAGCCCTCTCAGAAAAGAGATAGCGACCTGGGTCTCAGGGTGATGAAGTCATTCCCCCCACCCTTGGGAACGCCCATACGCAGCGGGAATGCGGCATCGCCAGCACACAGCAACCCATCTGAGAAGTCACAGGCAGCGAGCTGTTGAGTTCAGCAGAGGAAGCATCTCCCCTCTCGTCAAGCGCGCCTGTTCGAGGCACTTCTCGGCAGCAACAGTTCGCACGAGCAGCTGGCAGTGGCACCACCTTTCTCGTGCCAGAACCAAGAGGCGCTCAGAAGTGCCAACACCGGTTGTGTTGGAATATGGGTGTGCGAGCAGTGAGAGGGAAGGAGCGGAGCTCGAGCAGGAGGCTTCTCTCTGGAAGCACTACAGCCTTCAGAGACACCGGTGGCACCACCAAAGCTGATGATGTCAGCTTTTCATGCTGACACACCACCAGCACAGACTGACTGTTAGCCTCAATGTTCAAAGCCTTTCTCCGACTCCACGCGCATGGACAACAGGCAGCACACTAACCTCGTCTTCCAGTCTTCCTCTGACTTGGAACGGTTTTTGCGGGCAGTCCTTTGTTTTTCTTCTAGCCTCTTCTTTTCTTCACTGGCTAGATCTGGGAGGAATAAAAGTACACAAATAAGAACACTGAAGGTGTTACAGCATAACAGGGGACAGGGACATGACTCCATCTGACCCAGCAAATAAATAAGGGAAGTAGTAAAGCTCAGCTTTTAAAAAGCCTTCTATGTAACAGAGCAGCTTCTGATTTAGTCTAAGAGCAAAGCCAGGCCAGCTGTGGCACAAGATCAGCCAATGAAATTCCAGTCTAGACTGCCAAATACAAGTTCATCCACGGCCAAAGGATGCCGAAAACATGTTTACATGACCACAAGTGTGAGCTGGCAGAGGGGGCACGCCTAGGATTTATTTCAGTAGGGAGACTGATAGATGCTGGATTGATTTACAAAGTCTGGGCACCTACTTCTTGTTGCTGGGGTAAGCTGTTACTAGTGCCCAGTCCTGATCAACAGGGGTTCAGAACATGCAGGGGGGTTGGAAGTAGATAGTCTTTAAGGTCCCTTCCAACCCAAACCATTCCATGATTCTATGCATTCCCAGAGCACAAAGAATTGCCTCTGCGGCATGCCTTCATTTTTTGTTAATGCACTAGGGTGGCACAGGTCATGGTCCTAAACAAGGTGAACAGGTCACGCCATCTGGCAGAAGGGGCGGGCAGAAAGCCTGACGAGTAAGTCAGGCTAAGCAGCAAATGGGAAGGGCCATCTCCTTCCTATCTGCATCCTCAAAAGCATTTAATAAACATCTTAGAAGAAAGCATCTGAGAGATTCATTTTTGGAAAAGAATCAGTCATTCCCAGTGTCCCTGCCAGCTCCTAAGACACTGCATGTTACCAGTCTGTCTGCTGGACAAGCTTTATGCTGTCAGTAATATTCAGGGACATGGTCTGTTGCCGACAGCAGTTACTGCACTCCAGGTTTAGGCAGACGTATTACTTGGGATGTTCTGAACCATCCTGCTGGCCACAAAACTATGGTAAAGGCAGGAGAGACTGGCTGCGGGAACTCTCTGATCTGCTTTTTGAAAAGCCTCAAGAGAAGTGGCCAGCAGGTCGAGGGAGGGGATTCTGCCCCTGTACTCTGCTCTGGTGAGACCTCACCTGGAGTGCTGCGTCCAGCTGTGGAGCCCTCAATATCAGAAGGATATTGACCACTTGGAGCGAGTCCAGAGGAGGCCACAAAGATGATCAGAGGGCTGGAGCACCTCTGCTATGGGGACAGGCTGAGAGCGTTGGGCTTGTTCAGTCTGGAGAAGAGAAGGCTCCGGGGAGCCCTTATAGCACCTTCCAGTACCTGAAGGGGCTACGAGGAAGCTGGGGGGGACTTTTTACATGGGCCTGTAGTGACAGGACAAGGGGTAACAGATTTAAATTGAAAGCGGGGAGGTTTAGATTAGATATCAGGAAGAAGTTCTTCATGGGGAGGGTGGTGAGGCACTGGAACAGGTTGCCCAGAGAAGCTGTGGATGCCCCATCCCTGGAAGTGTTCAAGGCCAGGCTGGATGAGGCTTTGAGCAACCTGGTCTGGTGGAAGGTGTCCCTGCCCATGGCAGGGGGTTGGAACTGGATGATCTTTAAGGTCCCTTCCAACCCAAACCATTCTAAGTGGTCATGGGATCCAGAGGACAACAAACACAGCAGCACAACTGCGCCGTACCGTGCCCGTGTCGCTATGTTTCAAACCTAGATCATGGACTGTTGGTCAGAAACAGTCACACTCCTTGCCCTGTTACATAGGTGAAACTGAACCAGAGGTTTCCTGACCTACCCCATCGCTTCGGTCACCTCCAAACACTGAGCACTGTTCCTGGTCTGCAGTGAAGGAAGTTAATGCCATCCCAAGCAGCCCAGTAGAGGTGGGTGACACCTTTCACTCAAAGCACATCACAGCCTGCAGAAGTCACTCTCGCAGCACGGAGGAACATCTCTTTATGCCACCCACTCTGACAGTTCTTCTAACAACTTGAATTTACCTTTTTTCCCCAATCCCTCAGTTCTAACAAAAACTAAAACCACCTTTGCCAAGTTACCTATTTCTCCATTTTCCATGGCTCTGATATCTGGTCGTAGCCGGCAGTCAGTTTTGGGAATGACACTCTCCATGTCTTTGTCCAACTCGTTCAAAGCCATAGCAAAGCTAGTGAAGTTATACATCTGAAATTCAGAGGCAGAGATAAGAGGTGACATTACGACGTTTCTAGCCGCTAGTCTTAATACATGAGGAAGCTGCTGCCTAAACACCCAACCCACCCAAGTGCTCGTGTGTTATTTAACCGCTGGAGAAAAGCAGGAAAACTGCGCTGTCCGGCAGAGCATAGGTGACCCCCGGTGTTTCTGTTTAAGCAGGCCAGCATCCAATTACTCAGGGCACTATTTCTCTCTGCTCTCCTTCTTCCAGCCCTACTGGTATTTTCCCCTGTCATTGTAGGGAGATTTTTTCCCTCTCGATTAACCCACTGAGGGCCCTTTTCTTGCAATTCTTCGTCTTTCCAGTTGCACGCATACCCTCGTATCCCACCCACTGCCTCTCCAGCTCCACAGCCCTTCATGCACCAGTTCATGCCACGCAGGCTTTGCAAGCATCTCCTGGAAGTGCCTGCCCTCTGAGAAAGCCCTTGAGAATTCTCAAGAGGTAGGTGCCTCTGGGGGAGGGGAGCAGGTTGGAGAGAAAAGCTGGGGAAAGCCCCCATACCGCCAGCTACACAAAACATCCCGTTTTCCAGAGAAGTGCCACTAACTCCAGAGACATGCCTGGGGCAGTCATCCTTCCAACCCCACACAACAGTTACAGCTGTAGCGGGGGAAGTGTGTTGCAAACGGGCAAATCCAGACTCGTTAATGAGAAGACACCACATGGATTTGCATCGTGCTGAACAGAGGTAGCAGGAGAGCGCACGGAGCGGAAACGTAGCTGACCTGTGCCGAATTTGGAGGCCTCGGCGTTATCTTCCATAGCAAAATACTTCCAGGAATAACATACACACTCTCAGAATCCGGCAATGGCATCTCATCCGATTCCTCGGCATTGCTCACCTAAAGGCAGCACACAGAGAAAAGAGGAGTGCTTTGGAGTCATGCACCGTTTACACCCATTCACTCCAACGCTGGAACTTACATAAAATTATTTCCTCGGCCAGAAGTAAGTAATTCCAGCAAAGGAACTTTACCAGACACGTGTCAGGAAGGATAACATCATTAGCATAGCTTGCTTACTCCCAATTCCCTCCCAAAGGAAGGCTACCAACAGCTTCTTGCATGACCATCCTCGTGGATACAATCATAGAATCATGGAATCACAGAATGGTTTGGGTTGGAAGGGACCTTAAAGACCATCTAGTCCCAAGCCCCCTGCCATGGGCAGGGACCCCTTCCACTAGACCAGGTTGCTCAAAGCCTCATCCAGCCTGGCCTTGAACACTTCCAGGGATGGGGCATCCACAGCTTCTCTGGGCAACCTGTTCCAGTGCTTCACCACCCTCTGTGAAGAATTTCTTCCTGATATCCAATCTAAACCTCCCTGATTTCAATTTGTACCCATATCGTTCAAGCATTAAGTCATGTCATCTTCCCACCGCAGAGATGTCCTGCTTCCTCACGCACAAGGCATTTCCCTGCCCGATACTTCATTACTTCTTCATTACAGCTGGATAACACAAGTCCCATTCCTCACCCCTCCACCACACTACTGAGAGGGCAAACTGCAAATGCCAACACCCAGACCAGCTGGTACTTCCGAGAAGGGCACCCCATGGAGGCCAAGGTACACATGGCCTGACACAGCTGCGGCCACGGCACTGCCAAGTGGTGCTGCCAGAAAGGGGGAGGACTCCACCCAGGGTTACCAGGGCAGTAGGGAACAACTGGTGGTCACAGTGCAGGTGTGACCTGAACTGGTTCTAAACCATCGCCCTCTTTACGTGCAGCTTTAAAGCACGTGGGGCCCAATGCTGCCGACAGCAGTTCCGCCACACAGGCAGACATTACAACACTGAAGTCAGCTAGACAACGACCCTCTCCCAAGAAAACTTGGTGTCGCTATCACAGCTGACACCAGCAGCGCGTTTCAGAGACTGCTGGGGAACGAAGCTGAACCTAAAGGCAACTAATCCTGTAAATACTTGGGCTACACGCCAACAGCCTTAAATTGTGCTGCTAATCAGCTTTGCTCTCCGATGGTTGCGTCTGATAACACAGACTGATGTTTTAGTGCAAAAAAAAAAAAAAACACCCAACCCCAGTCCTCAAACAGGGCTCAGTTGTCCTCTGAGCTGGTTCATGTGTTAAGCCTCCAAGAAAATTAGGAAGCATTAAGGGTTCTGTTTCATTGCTGAGCTCTTGGGTACAGCGCTTTGAACAACTAACAGATTGCAAAGTGACCAGAACAACAGGCAGACCAGGCTCAGTCCCTCAGCTATTAGGTCCTTCTGCTTCATCTTGAATTAAAAAGGATCCTTTTCTTCAGCCTGGAGAAGAGAAGGCTCCGTGGAAACCTTATAGCCCCTTCCAGTACCTACACAGAAGCTGGGGGGGACTTTTTACAAGGGTCTGTCGTGACAGGACCAGGGGCGATGGGTTTGAATTGAAAGTGGGGAGGTTTAGATTAGGTATCAGGAAGAAGTTCTTCCCGGAGAGGGTGGTGAGGCACTGGAACAGGTTGCCCAGAGAAGCTGTGGATGCCCCATCCCTGGAAGTGTTCAAGGCCAGGCTGGATGAGGCTTTGAGCAACCTGCTCTAGTGGAAGGTGTCCCTGCCCATGGCAGGGGGTTGGAACTGGATGGTCTTTAAGGTCCCTTCCAACCCAAACCGTTCTGTGATTGTAGAAAGGCTCTAGTTCATTCAGAGCAGAGCCACCCTGGTCTAACCCCAGGTCTGCTATAGCTCTTGTGATGGTGGTGAAATATCATCTTTGCATACATGAAGGCTTGTCTAGCTCCCCGAAAAATTATTTTTCCTTACGTTTTATCCCTATAAGAGTCAAAGGGATTCAGGGGGAAGTCTGCAGCAATTTGCAAGAGGTCCCCTATAGGCAGACAGAAGTGATTCTTCATTAGGAGCAAGGCAGCACGAAGGCATAGCTGGAAAACAACTAAATCAATCTGAAAATTCTTACTAGGAGAAGTCTGAAGGGCCATGTGCTTTCACACCTCAACGAACCCTTCACTACCCTGAAGGGACAGACCACAGACATTATACATGAGACGTGGCTCACCTCGATGCTCAAAACCCAAACACGACACCGATTCCTCCAACACAAGAGGGCGCTGGGAATACAGATTTGGCAAAGACTACCCGATTCCTCCCCTGCCTTACAAAGCTTCCCATCTGCCACACAGAACAGTTCTGTTAAGCCAGCAGAAGCAGCCTGCTTCTAGAGCCAGTGCAATGCCGCAGCAGCTTGAGCGTTAGGCGGTGGGAGACTGAAAAGCAAGGATTACGTTAAGCACAGCTGGGAAACACGAAGCAGTGGCTGAACAATGACACAGGGTGTGTTTTCCTTTGCTCCTTCTCCCTAGAGCTCACAGGGTCAGGCTCTAAGAGAAGCAGTAATCCCCAGAGCTTTAGCACTCTCCTGATGGCACACACGGGAGCAATCCCCGACACGGCAACAATCTGAACCTGCACAGGAACAAGTGCTTTCAGGGTTCTGTCTCAGGAACAAGTGCTTTCGGGGTTCTGTCTCTTTTTTCCTGAAGTATAAACACTACCAACATCCAAACCAACAAAAATAACGTGGCTTCAAAGCGGAACCACCCCTATTCTAAGCTACTGTGCGAGCGGCTGTTCATCAAGCTGTATGTTGTCACCATCACCATTCATTTTAAGTAAAAAGCATACTGCTGGCCAGAAATCTGGAAGAATTAAGAAAGGGGTTTCCACACCACCCCCCCAGGGGAAAAAAAAAAAAAAGGCAATTTTAAAAAAAACCCACCCAAGCAAGCATTTCTATGGTTGTAAAAACTTCACAGAAAGCAATACAAAAACTCCCTGTAAAAGCTAAAAAATAGGATCCTCTATCAAGAGGAGCACCTAGTCTAATCCTGCCTCTGGGAGGGCAAATCCTCCTGTCAGAATGTATTATCATATCCATTAGTTGGACTATGGTTCTGATCATATATGATGTCACCTCCACATGACCTGGTAGAAAGAGGCAGGTGATGACCCCAGCCACTTCCCTGTAAGTTTTGGGAAGGTTGAATACATAATCCTTCGGAGAGAAAGCATTTTATCCCTTAATACGGTACTCATCCAGTCTGTTTTGAATCCTACTAGGAAAGGGAGAAAAAGTGAAAAGAAGTGTTAATGCTCTTACACGTTATTAAAATATTATTTTAAAATTAAAATATTAGCTGTCCCATCATGCTTTGAGATACCACTTGTGTGATCAGTACCTGTTTACTGCTCTTCTTCTCTTCGGCATTTTTCTTGTCATTTTTTTTGTAAGCGTCGAACGTAGCCGGGTCAACACTGTACAAACACTCGGTCCACTTCCCATAGAGCGCACAGAGCTTCTTTTTGCTGTCAAAGAGAGACAACGTTTACAAAAGGAGCTTAGACCGATTTATTTCATCATTTCAGACCAAAACATTTGGAGGAACTTTGGAGAGCAACCTTCAGAACTTCACTGTTGGTGCTGCAAGACTCATAACCTTGCTGTTGCAGGTTCATGCCCTTGACAGGCTACGATACAGGCACTCAGTTCTACAGCTCCCATGGGAAACAGAGGGCAGCCTACCGGGAAGGAAGCAATCACCTTTTGTCCTGAATGTAGCCTTCAACTTTGTGCAACTCCTTCCCAAAGAGGCCGCAGGGCTTGAAGCTTAGTACACACTTCTCACCAGTTCTAAAGGCAGAGGAAGAGGCCACTGATTACTTCCAAATGCTTTTCCTTTTCAAACTTGCAGCAAGTGAAAGCACTCACACTCCTTACTTACTTATGGTTAGTTATTTCCACATTTCCGTACTGCTCAATCCAAAGCTTGCCCACAATAATGTTGTGCACACAGCATGTAGGATTTGTCCACGTGTAGGCTTCGTTGTGCCTAAGGGAGGGGAATAAAAATTAAGATACTGTATCTTTACTGTACAGGCCATCATCTGTAAGTCACACCAGCTCTTGGAACAGACCTGGCAGTAAGTCAGGCAACCCACAGAGTTTATGAATATCAATTCCTTTAAACAGCCACTTCACTGCAGTCAATCGCTAGCCCTGCGTGACACCAGGAAAGCCAACAGGACTCAAACATGCTAGTCCTAGTAGGACCGACCTCCAGGCATCTGCAGAACACACACACAAGCCCCAACTACTCCTACAATCAGTACGCAGTAGGTTAGGAGAAATTACGGCAGTTCCTTTCATCCTCTCATCCCCTCCTCCCCGCAAAGTTAGCTGCCATCAAACGTTAGGATGTGGGCGTTGGACATGTCCATTCCTAAGCCACAACTCTAACGCACACTAATCGTCATGGATGTGGCCACCGGGCCCATGTAATTATTCCTTATCAACTTACTCAAGAAGTTCCAAAGTCATTGTGCCTTTTGGTTCCGCTTCCACACTCTTGCCCCAGAATTTCAGTTTCGGATAAATTGATCCGTGAAACACAAAATCATTATTTAAACCTTCAGCATAGAAAGCACTGATTGGTGGATGATGGCTAACTTGCTCCGACAGAAGTCTAAATCCAAGATCATCTCTGCAAAACAAAGATAACCAAAACCATGTATCTACATATCAACTGCAGCCAAGTTCTTTTCACCAGAGTGAAACAGATAGTTGGACCCACACATAGCTGCTGTACTCGGTGCAAGAGTTAAACCAAAAAGATCAGCTCATATGTAGAACATCCTCATTCCGAAGAAGTGAAGACAGTACAAAAAGGTAACAAGAACTACCAAATGCGATCAGCCAACATGTTTGCTTTTGAGAGCAACCTCCTCCTCGAACTTCCGCATAAACATAGGCCAAAACCTCACCTGACAGAAAAATCTGCCTTTAGTGCAGCTGCACACCAATGGACTAACATGCCTGATCACATTCTGGACGCTTGTATGATGAGTACTACAGTTCTACCACCTCCCTTATGCACCATGCTTCTTTGCGTTCAGAAGGTTTCAGAAACACAGTTGTTTTTGTAATTAAAACTTGTTTTTAGAGCAGAGAAATTTAACTTGCTTCACACTGAAAAGTTCAGGAGCTTCCTTTTCCTGGAAGGTGCGCTGCTGAACTCCAACACACATCGCAAGTGCCTCCGGCATCTGCTAGGAGAAGGAGGGGAACCTTACAAGCCAAAGAGCAATCCGTGCACCACCTGACAAGCCTGCTGAAACATCGGTTACACAGAACACCCCTCTCCACTCTTGACAGCATCTTTCTGTTCCTTACCTGATCAATTCGTACGTCTCTCCAAGCAACGGGTTGAACGGCTTCCCTGTACGTTCCCACTGCGAGGCTACGGCAGACACAGCAAATGCAGCGACGCACTACTCAAAAGAGTAAGCGTGCAGTTAGTCTCCTGAGTTTGATTCCTTATCGAGCATCAATGGCATTTTCTTATTTACAGACTGATTCTTCTGAAATGGCTTAGCCAAGTTTCGTTTGCATGGCAGGGGAATAAAGAGTTTTCATCAAAAAGGCTAAAGAAAGCAAGCCTTCGGAAAAGTGGAACGTTGCCCCGGATCGGCACAATTGGGTGACGATTAAGAGAATCCGACATGCAGCAAGTTGTAGGGGTTCCTCTCCCATAGTGAGACTACGTAGGACACAAAACACACCCAACCCCAAGGCATTCCCTGAGGAGCTAGCACCAATTTCCACGCCCCCCCCGTACCTGCATTCGCTCAGTCGTGCTGGAAAGCGAGCTGGCCTTGTGGATGAGGTACGTATGCTCCATGTACTCCGTCAGTCGCTGCAGAAAGCTCAGCGGCTCGTTGAATATAACCGGCATTGTGATCTTCGACAACTCCTGATGCACGAGTGACATTTGTGTTAAAAACCAAATGGTGAGATACACCGACCTGCAGTAACCCACGTGTAATTGGCTTATTACAAAAATAAATGATGCTCTTAGCGCTAATGCGGTGTGCTTGACCCGGCTCCGCTAATGCTGCGAGGAAAGAACCCCGTACATCCCCTATGGGCTTGATAAGCCCATCTGTGTTGGCATTAAGGCTACTTATAAACAAAAAGAAAACCAAAACAGCAAACAAACTTCCTACCAACAAATGCATTAAAGCAGGTGAGATGAAACAAGGGAATGAAGTATTAAGGACCCTTTTAAAGACTAAGTTATTCACTACTCTAAGTAGATGCAGGCCATGTAATTATTTAAATGTATTATCTCTTCTGATGGCAGGTGGGGAGAGGAGGAGGAGAAAGGACAGGGAAACATGGCAGCACAGGAGTAAACACACAGATTCTGTATTCCAAAATAAAAAGGAAGTTTTCAACAGGAATAAAAATTTAAAGGACCCCTACAGTTCTGATGCTGTTTAATTCCTCTTTCCTGGGTTTAAAAAAAAGCATGCCTTCTGAATGCCTAACAGCAGTGTTCTGAACGGGCTGCAGCAGCAGGGAGAAGCACGCAGCATGACTGCTGGCAAGGTGGGCGGTAAAAAGCCCTGTCCTTACCCACAACAGCAGCATCTGGCACTAACAGCTTTGGCAGACACCTCGCTCCAGTCTGCTCCAAGTTCTGCCCCTCCCCAACCGCAGCTGCCCTGCAGCCATCGCTGCGAAGCAGAACAAAGGCCTTTACGGATTTGTTCCCCCTGCACACGCCTTAAGCGAGACAGGCTTGTGGCCCATTCTCTGCATTTTGGGGTTGCAACACCTCCCCACTAAAGCCACCGTGAGAAGCCTCCAATGCTTCACATCAGCTCGGGAGACTTGGAGCTGTGGATACAGGCATTCCCCAGCATTCCCACATCTCATTGCATGGGGAGGAGGAGGAGAAGAGAACAGGTACTCAACACACATTCCCCTCTGTAGGCCACTGTTACTGCTGATAACCCTCAGTCAGCCTCTAAATGCTTCCAGCCTATTTCAGTATTCCATGGAGAGAAGAATTCTTCTCAATTCACCCTTGGCTGGAAGCAGCTTACATGCCAAGCAGCTAACCTCGGATCTGGCCACCGTCTGGCCAGTAACACCGCAGGGGGGAAGACTGGGATAGTAAGGGAGAGGGAGAAAAGCAAAATTAAAAGTAGTTGGGTTTTTGGGTTTGTGGTTTTCCCCCCAAACACAAAGTAAAAAAAGTTTTGCTACCGCAAAGTACTTGAAGGGTTAAAAACTAAGAGGAAATGCTTTTGCTGAGGGAATATTGCTCTGACCAAGTCTCACCCGAAAGCAAATAAAACATAAGCAACCAATATGAAAAAAAATCCCCCTGCCCAACAAGTTTGCAATTGGCCCTCAAACGAAACAATCACTTCCCATCTTTTATCATCATTTTCCGATTACCTACCATTCCAATGCATTTTCTTAGGATACTCCAGATACTGAAGTCATTTCTGGAAAACATCGGAGACGGCAAGCTTGTTCTGGGGAAAGGAACACGGAAGAAAGGAGAGGAGAACAGTTTTCCATTACTAACCACAACTAAGAAACAAATACTCTTTTTTGACAGTAACAGTTTTCCAATTTTTAAATTAAAAACCAAAAAGGGGAACAGCACTACTTTGAAGCCTTTAACCCGTTTTACCTGCACAGAACCCCAAACGTCTCCAAAACCAGAACCGTTGCCTTCCTTCTGCATAACAGCAGTGGAAAAGAATTTCTACATATCATTATTAGAAGAGTGTTTTTACAGTGGCACCATTAAGAAATTCAGTGGTGTCTTTTGTAAGACAAAAAGTTCTTTTCAAAGTAGGTACCCAGGTACGTTCACTACATCTGAATGAATATAAAGGGTTAGGCAGCAGGGTGGGTTTTTTCTCTGGTCCAGTGGGAAAAAAACCACTGACAATGAAGGGTGACGTATCCTAAAGCAAGTCTCAAACATACTCTCAAGATCAGCGTTTTGGCTGTGTGAGAGCCTGTATTTCTCAGCTTTACGAGGAATCAGGCACAGATTTTGTTCAGTTTTCTTACAGCCACTGACCAGCTCAACTATTAAGCCGATTTACCCACAGAATGGCATAAATACAGGCCAAAGCTCTTTGTCCACAACACCACTAAAAATTGTTTGGAACGCAAAGCTATTACCCATGCGAATAATTCTCAGCAGGTAAGTATTGCCAACTGCCTGACTTGAGTTTCAAAGTTTTCTAACATGACTGTGTTTGCCCTCCTACCCAAGGTGGTGTCTCCCCTCAGAGTAGCTAAAGCAGTACCTAAACGACATAGGCTGTGAATAGGCTGTAGGTGCCTCCTCCACCCCACTTTTCCGATAAACAGAAACACTGCCAAGAGAAGAAAACTATCTATTCAGGCTGTTAAGTTTCAGTAGCCCTGCTTGCTGTGTTAGCTCCCATACTACCTGCTACTGAAACACCTTCACCAGGGCTGATGCTTCAGTTTTCCAAAAGAACAGAAGGAAAAAAAGGCTCTTTAAAAACACAAGCCCCATCCCATCAAAAACCCAGCCATATGCCTCAACTCCTCCTGGTACCAAACCATGTTTTGGCAGTTAAGTAGCTAATAGCCTAGCACTGGCTTGGTTTATTCAGCTCCCATGCAGGGGATGAGCGGGTAAGAGGATTTATTTTATTTGACCAACGTAAGCCCACTCACTCCCTATTCTGATTTTCCACTGGCACAAAAATATTTCGTCAAATACATCTTGAATACTATTAAGTATAAAATACTCCTGTGGATGCTTTGATACAAGCGTCCAGGAGAGGACAGTGTCCACCAAGTATTCAGTCTGATCTTCGTTTGTGGCATACACGTTTGTTTTCTGGGGATCCTTCTTTAACAAAGGCAGTTAGCAGAGCAGGTATCCGTGTTCAAACAAGCCCTCCTGCATGTAACACACACATGTGCTTCTGGTTTGCTAAAGTACACACAGGGATTTCTCTCCTTACATATTAAAACTTACATTTTCATTGAAGTTAATTGTCCCCCTGTTCAATATGTTTAGTTACTTGAAAGCTGGCATTCAGCTGTAGCCATTCATCCATACTTCTGGCACGTATCAGCCAAACCTGATACTGGAGTCAGTCCTTTTCTCCATATAACACACACACATTGAAGAAGCAAAGCAATTTTAAGCCACTGAGAAAGATCCCAGGGACAAGTAAGGATGTGGAAAAACAACAGGCAGCCAAGACACGAGGCCTGCTAACCTTGACACACTCCCTGTGATTCAGGGTAAGGCTTGTGAGTGCAAAAATTTCCTTCCAGATGTCAATTATAGAAACAACTCAGGAAGTTAATTTTAGCTTTAAATGACAGAAACATCTGCTGAAATTTCTGTGCAGTAGAACAGATAAGAGACATTTAAGATCATTCACGTAAACAAGAACACTTGTTCGAAGCATCATCTACAGTAGGTACTACAGGGATCTTGTGGGGAAGAAGACACCTGGTGTGAAAAAGGCACATTTACCTTGCTCTCCGTGTAAGCCTGATCAAATACTCTCTTGGCTCCCAAAAAGCTGCACACAGGCTCATTTGCATTCTGAAAGTTCCCCAGTTGGGGAACCAAAGGGAGAACTGACTACAGAAACTCAGCAGTAAGGGTAAAAGTGGTAAATTGATGTTAAATGTTGGCAAGTATTACAGAACATTTTTGTCCAAGGGTTTGGGGGGTTGTTTGTGTGTTTCATTGTTTCCTTCCTTTTTTTAGGTTTAGCCCAGCTAATTGGGGGGGTGTTTGTGTGTTTCACTGTTTCCTTCCTTCTTTTTTTAGGTTTAGCCCAGCTAAAAGATTTCCTGCTTAAAGGGGAATTATTGGAAAACTTCCATATCTAACATAGTGTTGTCCTATCTCTCAAATCCTCTCCCAAAAACGTTTCCAAGTATGAAGTCCACTCTCAAACCAATCTAAAATACAAAAAGTCACGTCACCCACATTCTTCCAAACACTCTGTGAACGATCATCTGGATGTGAACTACATTTAAAGGATCAGAACAAGACAGCAGATTATAAATGGTACTGGTTTCGCCTACCTATATAATTCCTTGGAGAGCCAACAGACTTATGCCTACATCTCCAAAACCAACACACACGCATCCCCCAACCCCAAAAACCGACCTCCACCTCCCCGTGCAAAACCCTCACCACCCAAATGAGAGAGGCAGATCAGAACTTGGATTTTCTAGACGAAGGCAAGAAAGAGTCTTATTTATACCAACCACCAAACAGTGCTAGGTACTCTCAACTCCGATGCAGCTGCAGATCCTCCTCACCTGAGCAGGAAGAAGGTTCTAAGGTTTTATGCAAAAGAAGTTAATCTGGTCTGTTCTCTACTGGCTTGTTTCCATGTGGTTAACACAAAAATGTTAAAGTTATAGCCAGCCCTAGGGTGGAATTAAGTGCTATCAAAACGTTCCGACGCCCCTTTATTTTGCACAGCATCAAGTAGTTAAGGTTTCTGCTCTGACAAGTAGGCAGGTGACCTCACAGCCGATGTGGTTTTGGCCATGTGACCTCTAACAAGCCCCCAAAGCAAGAGAGGCACCGGAGACAGCAGCTCCACGTGGGTAACACAGTGCTGAAGTCAGGACTGTGATCAGGCACAGTGAACAGATCCTGCACCAGCCCAAACTTCCCTGCCACTGAGAGCCTCAGAACACCACAAAACTCCCCCATCCCCTGAGGAGGTGCTCCTGGAGGTAAAACTGACATTGGCCAAGCTCTGGGGAGAAAACAGTTTGGATCAATGTATTTGTGGACAAATCCCAGTGTGTCCCCAAGGTGGCAGGTAAAAAAGCTTGACATTCAGCTCAACCTGGAATGTGCTCCATAGCCATTTAGTCCCATAAAATGTAACCACACGTTCTTATTTATGTCAAAAAGAGGTGGCTCCACTTTTCTTTAGCAGTGTATTATTAGCCAATTTATGCACTCATCTTACTCCAACATCCTTTACTCTTTACTACTAAAAAAAGACATGTAACTCTGAGAAACAACTTCTGCAGAAGTACGACATGTAACTGAGAAACAACTTCTGCAGAAGTACTTGTTTATTACTCTTCATTCTCCCTCATAAAACCATTTATTTTAAATGCTCCTCCAGTCACCCGCTCCCTACAGTTCTGACAACACCGTGCAGTGTTACAGAAACGTGCCAAGTTAGTTTTTTTTATAGTAAACAGAAGATCAATCCCTGTTAAAACTCTCCCAGACAATGCATGCCAACATGCATCACCATCTTCATACTGATCACTAATTGCTTCCTTTCTCCTCATTGTTTCCAAGGCAATGAATGTAATTCAGATGTCCACCTTCACCTAGTGCTTCCCTCCCACCCCTGGATTTCCTGCTCTCATTAGGAAAGGCACTTAGCCAAGGCCATAAATACCGCCCTGGCTAACAGCACAGAAGCGCAGAGCAACACGCTTGGTCTGCCGCTTTATATCACCTGCCCAAATCACCCTGTTACTCCACCCCAGACCTCGCTTGCCCTAGCCTCTGCCTAGGATGGGAGGGGTATACAGGCAGAGGCTGAACCTTGAAACATCCGGTCTCTGACATTACCACGCGCTTCAGTCACTGCGCTTCAACCGTTTAAGATACCAACTAATTAAAGCACATCTTGCTTGCTTCTGTAAAATTAAAATCAGAATTTCCTGGGTTTACAGAGATCTGGTGTCCCCATCGTCACTCCCCACATCCAAAACACTTTCAAGGTAGTCTTTCTGAAACACACCGAAGTCTTGATCTGTAGCACAAACATTACATTGCCCCTTCACTGAAACTGGAGAACAGGGGTGTCTATTACATCTCATTAACTCCAGACCTATTGTCCTCCTTTATGGGCAAGGAAACAAACAAAAATGGATCATTTGACAACACAAAATAAGCCCATAAAACATAGATGAGACTTTTCAAATAAGACTCCCTTTGTTGACATTTGAGTTTCTGATGCCAGGCTAGCAATATTTTTCATTCATTCCCGATACCAAGAGAAGGATCAAATGACTGGAAATTAAAGAGGCAATAGGAGGCAGAGGTCATTAAAAATACACGAAGGAATTAAAATCCACATAGATTTCAATAAGGTCGATGAAAACACAGGTGTGTCCCTTTTTACAGAGCACATTGCATTTTATTTTTACTTACTCAGAGTCGCTCACCAAAAAGCAAGATGCAAAGACGCAGGCTAGCCTCGGAAAGGCACCCTTTATAAAAACACAGCGCAACCAACTACTTGTCAATCACCCCTAATGAAGTTTTTTACAGTTAGCTTCGAGGCCCCTGTGGCTTTTTACTCACCATTAATGCATATTATGGTAACAGAAGAACAGGCAACAGCCTACCTGTGTTTTTTGATTCCGTTAGACAGCGACTCCCCACTGTCGCAAACCTTTTCTTCAGACACGCTCGAAGTTACGGTATCTTTTGACTCCATGCTGTCCTCTAACGAGTAGGCTGTTGTTGTTTCAAACCCACTTAATGATTTTTCAGATTCCGAATCTGCAAAAGAGCAGGTGCATGTTAATGAATCTACAGCCTGTGCTGGGCTTCAGTCACTAACAGATCTGCCCTCTTTGTACAAAACTGAAACCTAAGTAGGCTGCCGCGTCCTGATGACAGCACCCATTTGGTAAGTAACTAGCGCTGCCACAGACCGCTGCAGCTCTGGATCCAGATCTACACTGAAGAGATGGCGAGGTCAGCGTGAACACTGCAGATTAAAAATCTATCAAACAGAGTTTGTGAAACAGAAGCTACTGTAACTTGCTTAGCACAAGTGCCACTGCCATGTAGATACCAGTACCTTAAATACCAGTTACCTCAACATTCAAGCACTGACTCCTCCTGTGTAAGGCTTCAGTTCCGTCTACATTCTTCGGGCACTCGGTGCTGTTCAGCAACCTTCCCTTCCCCACAACTGAACGAGTGTCAAAGAACAGGAGGCGGTATCGTACACAGTGGATTACATTAGCCACCTAAGTCCCAGCAAAGTCTAAATGATAAGCTCGCCAATCAAGAAGATAAACATTGTACTCTGGAAGGTAGGTTAATAGTACAATCCACACCACACTGAAACCTGAAGTCATCATCAATGACACCCCTTTCTTTCCTGCCAGTGTTCTAGTGCTTGACCAGCTCTGGAGAAGAGACTATCTTGACCCAAATCACAAAGTAACAATCTCCTGGCAAAAGGCTGTATTTTGGTTTCATGATTTTTTTTTTTTTCTCTAAACCAACACGGTTGTCAAAAGATTATCCAACTGCAAGTTCCAGGAAGAAAGGGAGCAGCATGTAAAGATGCACCCATTTCTATCCCATTTGGGAAATCCTTTAGCAGAAACCAGGTGCAATGCTGAATGGCAGACAGCTTAATGCAAGCCTCACTGCCTCTGGAAAAAAAGCAAACCCAAACTGTAGTAGACACCATTGTTGGTATGTACTTCTTCCAGCATATGGCACTGCTTTTGGCTGCAGATACCTAGAGGAATAATTGCAAGACTAGTCACACCCCCATACACTGATTCTAAGTCAAAACCTGCTGAAGTAGTGGTCCATCAAAAGACTCTCTCACTCACAGCTGTCCACTGCCAGGTGTTTTCTTGTTTTCTCTTGAAGTTACACCAGTAGTTTCACCAGAACACATAATGATGTGTTACTTTGGTGAAGGGGACAGTGACAAGAGGACTTTCTACTACATCCAGATTATAGGAAGGTCAAGTACAGGGCAAAATCCTGATGAATGGATGGACTCTGCCACCATGTCGCCATCCTCTCTAGAGAGAGCAAGATCTAGAAGCCGAAAGGAAATCTTTGCTTTCATTAAAAACATCCATCCCTATCCTCATCAAGACAGTACTGAAATTAAGCCAGTTGCTAGGGAATGACAAGAACTGCCAGCTGGTGCTGAAGAGATGTTAAAAAAGTGGACTGGCACTCCAGAGAATCTGCTCATCAGTTTCCCCAAATCTGTCAGCCTAGTTCTGTGCCAAATGATGATATAACCTATCAAACCATTATTTTGGTTGGTACCATATATAACAAGTAGGGTAAGGAGAAGCATTTTCGCTTGTGGACAAGTCAGTTACATAAAACTGGTTTCTCCAGAGATGGTAAGCCCAGGTAGTCAGGGAAACACTGTTGCATATCCATACTCAGAGGAAGAGCCACTGTATCGGTGTATCACAACTGGGCCTCAACATCCTGGCCACATGACAAACTATAAATCCCTTCAAGGTAAGTATTCCACCTCTCCACTGAAAGAGCTGCTCAACTATGCCAACAGCTTTCACGGCAAGAAAAGCAGGAAGCAAACCCTGTAACAAAGCAGAGAGTCTGCCTCCTGTAAGGCTCCTTTCTTCTCTACCATCCAGGCCTGTTTTGTTTCCAGACAAGCGTCACGCCACACAATTCCCTCAATTTTGAGTTTCAGCAAGAGACCAAGGACTCTAGAGGCAGAAAGGGAAGAATAGGTGAGCATCACCAGAACTACTAACCATTCTCTGATATGCTTCTCAGTAAAATGAGGATTTTTAAACACTTCAAGTGATCAGTTCTCCTAATGCTGGCCTTACAGCACAACACACAATCATGCTGGACTGAGCTCAGCACCTGCAAGCCTCTGCAGAGCTGTAGACACTGACCAGCCAGCCTTCTCCAGGGCACGTGCGTTGCTTCATACAAGAGCATGCTCTACAATAAAGAACAGAAGAGTGAAACCAGGCACTGCCTTAAGCAATTGCTCTTTGAAGGCATCTCTCCCATTTTCCTGTTGGGAAAGTATGTCTACAACAGCTCCTGCCAAAGATAGCCATCTCCAATCCCTCAACCTCAGCTACCGCCTCTGACCCAACAAGCTTAACAAGCCTTGAGAGTTTGTTTACGTGTCAGAGCGAACAAGCCTATTGTAAGCACACATCAACAGGCAACTCAAACCGAGCTCCTTCCCCCTGTGTGCTTGCAGCTAACTCTTTTCTGAATTAAGATTTGCATACTCCCCCGTCACTGCAAAAAAAGATTTATATTCACAAGTTGCTACAGAGCAGCTGTCAAACAGATGACTAGGAGAAAATGAGGGTTTCTTTCTACTGAACTTAAGGGGGTGTGGGCTGAGGAGCGAGGAGAGGGAATAAGAGCCCCTCTGTTCAGAAGCCAAAATTTTAAGTCATCTTTGAGACAAGACCAGGCTGACTAGGAAGCACTCCAGCTCATGAAACCCAAAGTGTCAGGGGAACAGTAAAAACACCAGCTACATTTTGCAAGAGTGGGAGAGCAAGGGGAAGCAGCAGAAGCAGCGGCAGAAATTTAACTCAGTGGAAGTTCACCTCCTAGCGCAACAACTGCCAAGTCCTCGGTTCCAGACCAAAAACTGACCAATGTATTTGAGTAACAAACACACCCGGTAGTGTTTAACACCACTGGCAAGGTTGGGTGTGAATTCTGACCAGGTGTTTCATATCCCTTTCTGGGATACTTAAGATTCATTCTTTTAACTACCTTCAAGGCAAAAAGCCCACAGCCAGTGTTCTCACAGAGGTTGCGGGGTGGTTTTAGTACGTGTTCAGAGACAGCCACCTGACAAACCACTCTAAACGTGGAAGGAAAGGGCAGTAAGGTTCTACGCTTTTTGTAGAGTTTTTACCTTCAAGTGAGCTGATAACTGGAAACAAACTAGAAGTGAGCAAAAGCAACAGAACTAGTCTACTACTCAGGGTGCCATTTAGGAGCATTATTGACAAACACAGTACTTACTAGCAGTATGTAAGGGCTGAAGCTATGCGATGACATGTTAGCGTCCATATCATCTAAACATTCCCCTAGCTGAACAACTGCTTTTGTAGTAAGAGCATCTGCCTGAAGCCATCAACACCTCTCTCAACACACACAGAAGGTGCGTTTGCAGGAAACCCCCAGCTCTCAGACAAAACCGATTAAAGAGCAAAATCAGGACAGTTTTAAGCGCTCCCTAAAATGGGTGTGCAATTTGCATGATCACCAGGGAATCTTAGCTGCAAGGCAAAACTCAAGTACCTTCCCCCTGTGATTCTTGACCTGCTTAGCCATTTCTCAGCACTGTGGATGGACTGTGTTCTGTTTTCATGCTTCCTCATGTCTGTACGCTTAACCAAAGCTAATAACTTCTCCAGCTCTCTAGGAGATGCCATTGGTCTTATTAAATTTTCCTACTTGTTTAGTGCTTCTTCCCTTCCCCAGTGCCCCCCCACCCCCCCCCGCCCCACC